CCAGAAAATAGACTTATTTAGCAACCAAAATTTTAATTCAACCCCAAAACTTATTACATTAGCTTGTTTACTCCATAAATAAGAACAAAAATAATGACATCTGCTCAAAATCATGAAGATATAAACACAAAAAAAAATGGAACAATTATTTACCTTTGTAAGTACTAGTAATTTTAGTAAATTCTATACTTAGTAGTCCTTTCTCTTGAGGAAATAATTATAATTCCCCTGGGAAATGGTTGTCCTAAATTAATATTTGCTCCAAATCTTGTCATGTGATGTAGTAAAAATAGCACTGGACAAAAAGTCAGACACAGACTTGCAACTAGAATACAGTTTAAAAACCCTCAGTTCACAAATTATGGCTTTACAAACAAGAGGCAAATTTTTTCACCAAGGAGGTCTTTCTGCCTAACATTCTTCTACTTTGCAGTACCCTCCCCAACCTGATTCATTTAATACGTTGCTATTTTTGTGGAATCCAATTCCCTTATAGGAATCTTAAACTATCATAGTATTGCTGTCAGTACCCATCTGAAGCTGGAGAAAGATTCTCTGGGCCTAAGGCTCCTCTCCCCACCTCCAGTACCTTACTCATGCATCCTGTGTTACCTATTTGCTGTTCTTCTCACCTGATTTTGTCTTAGGCACTAGAATTCTTACTTAGGGCTTCACCCAGAAGACTTGGGATCACATCTTAGCTGTGCTACTAACTAGATATTTGACTTTAGGAAAGCCACTTAACCTGGCAGGGCCTCAATTGCCTCACCTGTGAAATGACAGGTGAAATTAGGTTCATTTATTCTTTCAAAAGTTATGAAGCTCCTATTAAGGGCATGTGAAGTACTGTTATTTCCTGGGGGAGATTAAAAAAAAAGTTCATTTGACTAATTTAATCCACCCATCTGGTTAGGTTAAACCTTAAACTCAATTTTTTTTTGGTCAAAGAAGTATTTATTTACTGAATTATATACATAATCATCTCAGCTATTTCCTCTATTTTGCATACCCCATGAAAACAATAATAAATCATATATTTATTTTATATAACCTCTTTACAAAGCATTTAAAGTCTATATTATATATGTAACATATGTGTAAATATTGTTATACATATAAACATACATGTGTATATATAATCAAGGTTGACATGTGTCTAACTAGATATATAACTATATATAAATATATAACTATAAATACATATAAATATTGAGAATAACATATAAGGAAAAGTAAAACAAAAATATATTCAAAATCAAGTTTTAAAAGAAAGAGGCTATATTTCTATTCAACTTTGATTAGATTAGGACTTTTTTTTAGTTTTGCCTAACTGTATACCTTTTAAAATCAGACTAAATAGAACTCATCAGAAAGAGTTGGATAAATGAGACAGTTCAAATGGCTATCAATTAAGAAGTTAAGATATCACACATACTGTACCTGTTTAGAAAGCCACATATCTGATGTCATTTCATATTTCTGAAAAGAAACAATTTATTCCATGAGACATCTACAAACTTATACTTGCATTCATCAGTGTGATTTTTGTTGTTGTTGTTAGGTTTACTTTTTCCTATTCAATTGCTGCAGAGTACTAGAAAAAGTCTTTTGACCCTAGTGACATTTAAAAAACAATAAAAACAACAACAACAAAAAAAAAAAACCAAGAGCAACTGAATGCTTAAATAGGAAATGGTGAGTACATGATCATTTAACTATGAACACAGCTCTTTACTGAATTCTTTCAGAATTTTAAACAGGATACCACTAGGTAAGAGTCTTTTTTTTTAAAGATTCCTTTGATTACTTAAGATAAAGTGCCTTTAAGCCCCTACCTATTTTGTATTTTCACCTCTATGCTTCAACTAGCAAGTAAAAATTATTAGGCTTTTCAAAAGAAGTTGGCAACAACTAGGATTAAAATGTAGATATGGACATTACTCAGTTTCACTCTCAGTATAAACCATTTTTTTTTGTGAGTAATGTTTCAGTTTTAACAATTTTAAATACTATACCTTCATTTAAAAATCTACTTTATGAGAGGTTTACATATTTCTGTAATAAGAGAGGGGACAAAAATGTTGATTCAAATAAGATAACATAATTTGGAAACTTGTCAATAACTCAAGGCTATGTTTACATGCATTTTGTTCACATTTGGTGCTTTATGGACAAAAGTTTTGTCCTGATATATTGAAATTTGGCAACTTAATCCTTAGAAATATTTATTCTACAAGAATAATATTCTGTATAATATTTAAATCTCCTTATTATTAGTGATGATTTAGGAAATCAGTTCTCTCATTCTACAACTCTATATTTTCACCTGTTACTATATTTGAACTATTATAATGAACTATGCATAAATGGTATATCTTTCACCTATGTTGCATTATTTTCTCCAAATCTCTATTAACCTTCAATACAAATATAGCCTTATCACCAGGCAAACAATAGCCTTATAAAAACTGGACTACCATAATCTAGAATTACAGAGAATATGGCTAAGAGTTACAACAGTTACTCTTCAGGTCACAGTTGACCATGAGCAGTTCCAGGATATTGTCAAGCTACTAACAACAATTCCATGAAGGGGATGAGCTCTTTTTCTTGAAAATCCCTTCTAATACAATAGGATAATTTGAGGTATACATAATGGACACACTGGCACATGTATTTCAATGTTCAGAATATAGCCAGTTGTAGTCATACATCTGTTGGTGATATCTAGTAAGTAGAAGTAGAGAACAGTACTTGGCATTCTAATGGTTCCAGGAACATGGAACCTGTGACCTTGGCATGTGGCCCTTTAGGTCCTCAAGAAAGGGCTGTACTTGAGGACCTAGAGGGCACATGTGGCCTCAAGTCCACAGGTTCCCCACCCCTGTTCTAACTCTTGAAAATGTTCATTGCTCATTAGACATATTGATATTCTCCAGCAAACAAGACTGTAATGGAATATGTAGCTATGCATTCTAATTCTCAATAAGAATGTTCATCACTGGCCAATTTCCTTTGGCAATTTTCTAAAATGTTCCTTGAACATGCACATTAATCGACAATACACGGTAAAACATCATAAAAAGTTGAGTACTTTGGAATCTCTAATAAAGATAATATGGACACCTTCAAATAAATAACTCATTTGTGATTGTATATGAGAATCTGCATGACATGTTAACAATAGCAACAATTAAATTTGAGATGTGAGAGGCCTGTTCTACTCAGGCAAAGTATAAGGGAGAATTGCAATTTTCCTATTAATGAAGGATAAATTTGCTATTGTCTACATGTATGAATCTACTTGGTTTACCCTTTCATTCTTTGCCAAAGCACATAATTGGAATGGGAAAGAAATTATTTTTCTCTCTCTCTTAATGCTAGAATAATTAAAGTTTAAGGTTTTGTTTCAGTTTACTTTTGGTTTGCTTTTGTTCATCTAGTGACTATATGCCTAGTTATTAAGTTACTTAGTAAAGAAAAAAGGAACTTTTTTAGTCATGATCAGATGGAAATAAAATTTGACATTCATATACATGTATATATGTTTGTGTATATGTGTATGTGCAGTGTACATGTATATACATATTCTACACTTGTTTAATTATAAATTACATATGTACACACATATGTATACATATATACACATATACTATATGTATATATCTCTCCAACTTTTAAAAGTACATATAAATGACATAAATTTATATATCTGAACATATATATTTAATTGTTACATTTGTATATAATTGACATTTTAAGTGTATGTAACATATATAGAGAAATATATATGTTTTTCTTGATTTCTCAAAGTGTGTATAGTGTATGTGAGTGTATATATACAAAAAGAGTGTACATACATATATATTATATTGTCAAGTTTTGTAAGTGTGTATCTGTCATGTCATCTGCATGTAAATATATGTATGAGAACATATATGACCACATATTGCTGCAAAATGGTTTGATTAATTGGACATTGTAAGCATTTCTTTTAGTAGCATCAAGAAGTGAAATCATTCAATTTAATTGTCACCTATCCACCTTATCTTCTAGTAGTAGCCATAGGTAATAGAGATGTAAACTTTTCCTATGTAAACCCTTTTTTTTGGTGTGGGCAAGAGGAGGGGAGAATGAATTAAAATGTAATAGAACCAATTTTTAAAATTAAATTCAACTTTTTAATTGCCCTTTTAGGCCCATTTGAATAACAAAATCATTTTTCCCTTCTAAATTACATTTTATAAATATCACCTGCCTCCTCACCTCCTTTCCCCAACATGGCAGACTATACAGACAGCATTTGTTTACAGAAGAGAGAAAGAAAAATAAAAATTATTCTTAGGTTAATTAACATTCAAATAATTATTTAAGATAATAGCTTCATTCTTGGGAAAATATTATGGGATCAGAAATCTAGTCCAGGATATTAACAAATGAGGCTATAATCTTTTTATTAAAAAAAGAAAAAGAAAAAGAGAAGTATATTCTTTGTGACCCTAGAAGATCATTGGTCTCCATTGTTTCTAGGAAGCTGTGAAGATCAAAGGACTCTCAGTGGCACTTCTTGCAATGGTTTCATTTTGGAACCCACATTTATTTCCTTTATGTTTCTATTTAAAATATTAATGATCTTATAGAAAAAAAGTTTCCGGATGTCCCTTTGGAAGGGGACATCCAACAGCTCTAATTCAATGAAACAAGGAAGAGAACACATACTCACTTTGCTACAGGCTCCTGTAGTTGTCTCACAGACAGTCAGAATGGAGATGTTCTGAGGTCTATTTAACCATCTCACTACAGTCTTAGTATTGCTCACCCACTTCACCATGGTGATATAATATTCTCTATTTTGGACACAAATTTTGAGATAAAACATTCAGCACTATATAGCAATAGTTATAATATGTATCTTTCTTTATTTCCCATTATATCAGAATCTTAAAAACAACATAACAAAATATAGTCTATGCAAACTTCCAGCAAAAAACATTATGTAGTTTTGAGGAAAAATAATAATAAATATTTAAGTTGAGAAAGCAAAAAGAGTTTTAAAATTATTTGTGCAAAGAACTAATAGTTTGTTATTAATATGAGAAAATCCACTGGTTAATATGAACATTTTCTATATATTGTTTCTCCAGTATTAATTAATCCATTGATCGATTAAGGTAAAAAAATTGTATCAGAATCAACACAGATAGATACATATATCTACAGATTGATCTTATTTCCTCTGCCCAAAGCAATTTACTAAATTACTTTTAAAATAAAGACAAATTCTTTGGTCAACACCATGTGTCAAACTAAGATATGAAGTCCCAAATAGTTCACTGGGCTTCAGGCATCCCAAATAGTTTGCTGGGCTTCAGCGTTATGAAGAATTCTTTGGTGATGTCAATGGCAAATTATAAGTTAAATGAATGGAATGAGTCAGTCTCGTCCATCTGCTAGCTTTCACCATTATCTATATCTCTGCTGTTCTTTAAAAGTCTAATATAACATTGAGGGGCATAAACTGAATTTGGTTTCTTTGTGTTTTTTCATAGAGTAAGAAAATAGGGCAATATGATATAAAGTTATCCTCTGCAGTGTTATGATAATGGAAAAAATTTGACAATTTCTGCCCTAACCTAGATCACCTATTGTACCATTCTAGGAAAATTCCATGTTATAAACATATTAAGTAAATCAAATGCAGGCCTAAGAAAACTCCAATGCATATGATGTTAAGTTAACACTTTACTTTCCCCACAGAGGACTCCACATAACACATTGACTGCAGTGGAATCATGCCAAAGATGACCTGGAAATGTCTCCAAGACATTGGGATCCAAGACTTAATCCTGAGTACTGCCTTAGAACCAATCACTACTCAGGTGTCATGGAGCTGTTAGAAGCCATCACCTGTATTAGAGAATCCCTTAAATATGAAGTCAATCACAGATCTAGCTTATGTATCAAAGTAATCCCAATCTTTACTTTTCTAATGTTTATACCTATCTTCCTTAACGGCTCATTAGCTAATCAAAACATAGATGTCCTTAGGAAGAGGAGAAAATAGCCTATGACTTATATGGGTAAATTTTTGATTTTATTGTCAGAACAATGGTTTCTATATATGCATCACTTTGTCAAGTTGATATTCTTTAGAATACTCCATTTTTTTGAGAGCAAAGAAGCTGGCAAAAACAAAACAGGAGGATGCATTTGTACTTACTGAAACCTCTTTTATGTGAGAGTTCAAAGAAGATAGTGATTAGGATAAATTTTGTCCAAGTGAAATTACATAATTATTTTAGTGAGGAGTATTAAGGAAGTATCATATTAAGCTGTGGAATCATTCTGATATAATAAAGTATAGTAATAATCTTCCTTGTCTATAGAATTGGTAGAGTAACTCCTCAGCTCAAAAAATATCAGTGATTCCAAATTCTCTCCAATTCAAGTTCAAACCTCAGTGCTGCATTTCACAGTTTTTTTTTCATGTTCTAGTGCCTACTTATATTTCCTGCTTCACCTCATATTATGCCCATCAATTCACTTGATATTCCAGTTACTTTTAACTTATTTACCTTTCCTTACCTACACTAAATGGTCTTTTCTCCCCCTTTGTTTATAAAATTCCAAAATGTCCTTTAAAGCTTACCTCTTCCATGAAGCCTTCCTGATTTCTTCTATAAATAGAGACCTTTCCCCACTCAGTCATATATAGCATTTTGTTTTGTGACTTTCTATATATGACTGTTAGTTAGCTTTTTTGCTATATACCCCTATAAGTTCCATTAGAGCAGGGTCTCTGTCTTATCTAAACTTTGTGCCTGCTCTAGCACTTAGCACTTTTCTCTGCAAATATTAATGTTATTAATAAAAGTAAATTAGAAATAAAGTAATTCAGTCAGTGAACATTTTTGTACACAATACTCTTAGGCATAGTGGAGAGACAAGTTAAGATAAATAAGATCTTATAATCAAGTATTGGAGATAAGGCATATATCTAATAATTATAATTTTTTAAAAAAGAATTATCCATAATAACTCATATTTAAAGATGTTTAAATATTGGTATGTTTTTCATAAAATTCCACTATCTTCATCTAGGTGAAGTCATATAAACTCAGTAAGGTTCTGAAATTATTTTATATCTTAACATATATATTTTAACACATATGAACTAGAAAGCATTTTGAGTTCTGAAATTGACCAGAGTCTGCCTAATCATATGGTCTTCATAACCAAACAACTGGCCCCGTTTCATACCTGCTGGGAGAAATATGAGTGGTGATAAAAGTTTTCAAATGGGATTTGTGAAATCTAACTATAAATGACCTCAAATCTCTCCAATATTTTTAAAAGATATTTATACCAAACAAACAACATTAAAGCTCTAGGATGATATACAGTGAGACAACAATACAGAGAGCTAATAGATTCCCTACCAGGAAGCCATATGCACTCGTAGAATCCCCATCTACTTGCTTTTTTTGGAATACATAGACAGAACTCTATATATTTGTCTGAAGGAAAGAGAAGGAAAAGGTCTTTCCTTGTAGCATCACACTTTTTTGGCCTTCCTCTTTGGAGAATAGATTTCCTCTGTAAGTTTAATTTTATACAAATGTTTCCCTTTCTTTCCTATTGACTTACATACTTGTTTGTACTCTATATGACCCCTAAAGTCTCAAGAAATTTTCACAGAATTTGGTTCTCTTGAGTCATGGAGATAGAAACAAGCAGTTTAAATGGGGTGGTGTTCGAGTCCAAGACCTTAATTCACTGGGGGCTGGGAGAAGGAAAGAAAGGGGTCTAGAAAAGAGATCTAAGCAGTCTATGAAGTCTTGTGGATCAGAGGAAGTTCTGTCTTCCCTGTAGGTGGGCTGGCAGGTAGGTAGTGTTTCAGGCAGACCAGCAGTTAAGCCAATATCCATGGACCCATAGCCCATTATCAATCTAAATTCTCAAGGTCAACTCCACCAACATGCAATCATGCTGCCAGAGATTACACGGGCTTTTGACTTTTTTTCTTCTTTTTTTCTTTTTGGTCTATGAGTGTATAGATCCCTTGGAAGCCTGTTAAAGCTTATAGATGTTTATAGATGTGTAAAATAAAATACAAAGGATTATAAAAGAAACCAAAAGTTAGCGAAAATAAAGTTTGTTTCTCTTCAAAATTGATTGGCCTGTGGAAATCTATCAAATGAAGAATTTTTGGTTGTAATTTTGTTCTCTCACTCTCCTTCAGTCTATTTGATGAGAAAATGCTAGAGCATGAATGAGGAAAACCTAAATGACTGGTTTGGGAAAATATTTTTATTATGATCTTTCATTATTTTAAAGCTATTATATAGAAATTATCACAATATGAAAAATACTGTTTGATTTTAAATCTGTCATAGCTCATTATATCATTGACAGGAAATTTATATTTAATAGGAAAGATCCCTACTAGGCTTGGTGGATGATTTGAAAATAATATTTAGAACTTACAGGGACCTTTGAGATCAAGTAGAAGAAACTGGAGTCAGAGATATTAATTGACTACTCCAAGATGAAGTATATATAGTATAAACACAGGTTCTAAGAAGCAGTGTCAGAATTTATACTATACTTGCTATTATGTAAGGCAGGCAGCAAAGTCTAGAGGAAAGAATGGTGGATTTGTCTCTTACAATAACTAGCAATGTGATGTTAGTTGGGTGAGTCACCTTTCTCAGAAAACATTGATTTTCTTATTTGTAAAATGGAGATATAAATAAGATATGCTGACTCATAAATTCTGAGAAATAGATCAATGAAATAATATAGAACATAGGAAATTACATGAAAATGTATAGTTCTCCAATATCCTCAGTTACTTTCCAAGGAGTCATAGTATAATACAAAAAGGGAAAGGGACCTTCAAGACCTTCAAGTCCAATTTCACATTCTGTACATGAGGAAACAAATGCAGAGAAATTAAGTGACTTGACTCTGAAGCTATTTCTGGACATGACATTGGGACAAAGAAGAAAAAAGAGAAAGGAGAATCATCAAGTCACTTGATAGTTGGTCATTTTGGTCAAAGTCAGTGGATGCTACTCTGAGGATGCCATTTTTGATACTGGCACCAGAGTAACAATTGCTAAGATCTCTACATGTATTAAACAAGGGGCAACCCACTTGTGAGCTGGTTGGCAGACACACTAAATTGGTTATAGTTTCTCAAAAGTACATTTTAATGACCATTATATACATTGCAGTAGATATTGCTATAGAGGAAGTTAAGCATTTCAAGGATTATTCAAAGACACAGGAAATAGCATGATCTTCATTGGAGAATAACAGAAAGTACACTTGAAAATAAAACAAAACCAGAAAAAAAATGCATTACAAAATCTTATGACAAAAGAGCCTAAATACCCTTCGAAATTAAGCAATGGCAGTTCAAATGGCTGTTATTAATTCCTCAACATTACTACAGTCTTCTTGAAATTAGAATATGAAGGAATACCAATTTAAAAACAAAACAAAAAACCTTCTAATACAAAGACTAGAGTCTTGAAGATTGGTAAAAAAAAAAAGTCATTTTTAATCTATGACTTTTTTTCATTCAAGCCTATGCTGACACCATTGTCAGAAGTATTCCAGGTGATCTGAGTATCTTCATCAGACTTGAAAATTTTCCCCAAAAATATTTGGGAACTTTAAAAAAAATTCCATTGGAACTGGAATTTTCTCACTGTGGAAATAATGAACTCTGATAAACAGATTGATATATGACAATAACACTGTAACACATCCTGGCAACATACTATATACAATGAAAGGCTAAGAAATATCCTAAATATGGAAATAAATAATCTTCAAGAACCTAAGAATTCCTCTGATTTAAAATCTGTTGGAAACCTATAGACTACAAAGCTAAACTTAGAAAAATAAACTGTTCTTCAAAAGTATAAACTAGAGGAGATATGATCAATCTTGTCACATAATCAAGAATTAAAAAGAACATGTATGGAAATTATGTAAACACAATGCTAAATATGAAAAAAGTGAATACAGCAAGAGGAAAAGTTGCATATAATTTTTATATACATAAAATATTGATTGGTTTTACAGCACGTCGATAAATTTACTATTTTTACTTTTCCAAAATGATTTACATATCCCTGAAGAAACATAAGCAACTTTCTATGACTGCAGGAGTCAGCAGTGTCAGGACATCAGGTATAGAGGAGAGATTTTAGGTGGTTGAACTAGAAGTTTTAAAAGATATATCAGTTGGTTAGAGAGAAAAATGGTAGGGGCAGCTAGGTGGCACAGGGGATAGAGCACCAGTCCTGGAATCAGGAGGACCTGAGTTCAAATCCAAACTCATCACATGATTCTCACTAGCTGTGTGATCCTGGGCAAGTCATTTAACCCCTTTGCCTCACAAAAAAAGGGGGCTTAAGGTGTATAACACCTTTCAATAATCCTTTCACCATGTGTGGAATTGGGAATGACAGCAAAAGATTTCCATTTTATAAAATTGTTTGAAAAAACCCTGCTGTTATTTTTGTCCTATGAAATAATATATATGCAGTTAAAATGTATATTATTCATATCATAATATTAAATTCAAAGGTTTATGAATGCAAAATACAGACCCAAAATTGGGATAAGGATTTGAGATAAAAGATGAGAGGTTTTCCCTCTTTGGTAAGTTTGGATCATATTCTACAGCACCATCATGCCCCGGAATCAAAAACTAGGCCAAAAAGGAATTACTTCTTGTCCATCCCTTTATTTCTTTAAAATTCTGAACTTAGCAAACATCCAATAAAATGAGCATGTCCATACATCAAGTAGAGGGATAAAAGAATTAGGTGCACAGAACCATAAAACTCTTTTACATACAGATTGTTTTTCCTTTTAAGTATATAGTAAATTCAACACATAGCTTTCAAAATTGTCCTAGATTGTTTCTGGCCTTTCTTCTTTTTTGTTTGAATTTTAAAAAGATGTGTCAACGACTTTTTTCTTTTTCTTTTCATTTTATCTTGCTCTTAAACACCTTTTTACCTTTCTCTTCCTAACCTCTTTAGTTTGGAAGAAAAGAGAAACAGGAAATACATTGTTTGTAGCAAATATGCATAGTCATATAAATCCCCACATTGGTCATGTCCCAAATGTAGTCTGATCATCCAATTTGAGCACATCACCTCCCTGTCAGTAGGACAGTAGTATGTTTTATCAGTCCTCTGGAATAATAACTATTGATTGCAATGAATAGACATCTTAGGTCTTTCAAAATTGAGTCTTTTTTTTTAACCTAAAAAGAGAAGAAAGCTCAACCTAACAGATCCATAGATTCATATCCATTCTTCTTTTATATGCATCTTCTATTATAATTTTTACATTCAGAACAAATTAATATGCGATCCTGTTTTTTTTGAAAGATCATGAAAATGAAGTAAATACACTTTTCTATAGTTTCCCTATCTTTTAGCCTCCCTCTATCCCAAAATCAATGTGGATACCTTTTCTTTATTGTTTCCAGATGAAAGCATTTAGATTTTGAGAGCAACAATCAGCAATCTTAATCAATAATGAAGATAACAGCTTATATTTTTAAATTATCTGCTTTTAAAATACACAGATAGATTCATGTTATTGAAGTTTTCTAATAATCCTTTGAAATCCAGATTAGTATCTCCAAGTTGATCTTATTGCCAAATTTTGGTGTAGATGTAGGAATGAAGGCATATTGTGAAAATTATTGCTAAATTACTTGACCATTGAAAATCACGTCCATATATTATTTAGTCCAATGAGTGACTTTGTTTTTTTCTAAATATATCTAGAGCCCCCATTTTTAAAAATTTTTTTTCAATACACAAGGGTCAGTACATTCACTGATCAGTGTGCTCTGTTCATTGATGCAGACCTGAGCCCCTTTCTTTCATAGCCAATTATTATCAAGGGTAAAAAAAAAAAATAGGATCCTATAGGCATCCTTATGATAAGCCTCATAGATTTAGCTAGGCTAGTCTGCAGAATACAAGCATGTACTCCATCACTCTTGCCCTGAACTCAGACTCTTTTTAAATAGGGAAGACATACTATATCTTATGCTTCAAGAATTCAGGGTCACAACAATGAGGTATCAGAGGAGAATTTAAGCAGAGAATCTCCACTTTTATTAGATCATTTTAAAGAGCTAGAATGTGGGCAACAATATTTCTCCTCCAATTGTGGTTACCTAGTTCCATAATCCTGGGCATGTGGAAAATATGATCAGGATGCTTAGGAATCAATTGTTTCCTTCCTGTTGATTTCACTCACATTTCAAATTAGGCTTTTGTCATTAAACCTAAAATGTTTAAAGACATTCTACCCCTTGAATGATTATGCTCACTGCAAGCAGTATATTTGTAGCTTCTCAATAAAATCCCCTTAAATTATGCTGGACAGAGAAGAATGGCAACGTTGAAAACAGAAAGCTGTAGCCAAATATCTGGAAAAATGTTTATATTTTGGTGACTGTGCTTTTTCAAAAGAACATCATTTTTTTAAAAAAGTTCTTTATTTAAAGCCAGTATTGTTTTCAGGAAGAAATGTCAATTGAAGGTTACCTTATATAACAACAGCTTCACTTCCATCAGTTCACCTATCAACAGGCACAGTTCACCATGTCCATAACACTCTTAAATTCATAGGGTTGCTAATCTCATTGAAACTCAAAATTCATCTAGTTTGCTGCTAGTCCAAGGGTGACTTTATTTCAGAACTAATGGAGAAAACTTCAGTTCAATTTTTTTTTGTTATATTGCCTCCTAAGATGCAAAGAAATATTAATTTAAATAAAAATATTTCCCCAGAAAAGTGAAATAAAAATGGCATACCTCGATTTAAAACTGTCAGGTGGCATGAGCTCCAAAGTATGAGTAGGTCCATATAGGTTCACAACATATAATTTAACTGTTGGATTCACTTGACCAGCCTTTGAGAAAATGAAAATAGTAGCACATATTTAAAGCATTTGAAAATATCAAAATAGAATTGAAGAAATAATAATAGCTTATTGTATACTGTTTCACCAATCTCACACACATCTCATTGGAGCTTCACAACATCTATGTGAGTTAGATAGTGAGCATACAATTATATGAATTTTACACATGAATAAACTAAAGTTCTGAAAAGTTAAGAAGCTCATCTGCTGTTTTACTACTATTAGGTAGCCAAGTTAGAACTCAAATTCATGTCTCCAGGCTCTAAGGCTGGTGTAAATTTCATTTTACCATACAGCCTTTCAAGAAACCTATTTCTATAATTTCAACACTCTTTCCCTTTAAAAATGCGTAATTAATCTATGCTAGAAATTTAATTCTAAATTCAGACTTGATGAATTTCATTACTTTTGTTGGGTGCTACTGAGTCTTTTTATTCAGTCATCAATTTAGTCATTTAGTCATTAATGTTGATTTGAAATCACTCAGGCTATTAAGTAGATAATGCCATTTTTTTTCTTCCCAAGAATGGCATCTGTGGGACTGGCCTTACAATCAGACAGTCAAAATATGTATTGACCCAACTGTTATTATCTATGGGCTATGAAGAATACTTCACTGAACAAAATGTCACTCTTCCCAAATGCCACAGTGCCTGATTTCTGGCAGAAATGTGAGGTCAGGTGATGTAGAAGATTAACTAGACTGGGTATTGGAAAACGTGGGGTTGAAGGTGAGTTCAAACTTAATAATTTGTATAATGAAAGGCAAGTCATTTCAACTCTCTGGGCCCTAATTTCTTCACTTATGAAATGAGGGAACAGTACTAGATGATCTAAGAGTACCTTCTAGGTCTAAATTTCTATAATTTAAAATTTATTCCTTTGTTTTTTTTTTCTCATATCCCTCCAATTTGAGTGCAAATATTTGTTAAGATCATAGCAAGAACAATTTGGCATTAATGTATGTATTTTTTAATTGTATTTCATCCAGATTACAAGACCTGAGGGCAGCATCAGAACATGGATTGCCAGCAGGAATTTAGGGTAATAGGGGAAAATATAATGGGTAGATGAGGGACATAAAGTCTAATTTCATCAACTATGCAATTTTGTTGAAGAGTACTTCTGAAATCAGCTTCAGGTAATTGACTGAATTAGCTAGTTTTGTAATAATTTTGGTTAATACATTCAGACAATTCATTAGTATCATTGGAAGCCTTGATGGAAAAATAGTTCTTATGAGGCTAAACAGGAATTTTTGGAGAAGGCAGAGGAATTTGTATGCTGGGAAGTGTCCAAGAAGGAATTGGATGCTTTTTGATGTAAATGAGTTGGAAAATATTCAGTAGAGGGGGAAGAGGGAAATGATGTAAGCATTTGAAAGAGAGATCTATGTTAACAGAATTGGGGTTACTGAAAAACAGTCTAATTTAGAATATAATGCTCATATGGGAGAGTTAAAAATGCTACCATCATTGATAACACTTTGGCAAGAATTGGTTGATAAGGTTATCAAAGGGCTTTGAAGGACTCGGGGAAATGGGTTAGAAGTGAGTTTAGATTTCAGTAAATGCTGAGTTAATGAAAATGAAACATTGTGAGGTCAGTTTGTCAGAAGGTTACAACAAAGTTTTCTTACCTCACAACTTTACCAAAGGAAAGTTCTGATCAAAGAGTCCAGAGAATACCTTCTGGTGATTTTGAGAAATATTCATATGTTGCTGTCTTTTTCAGAAAATTCTGAATATCACTCTAGTAAAAGGATCTTAGAGACACTAAATAATACCTCTCCAAACTCTAAGTCATTAACTTGATTTGGTCAATTAGAGTTCTGTGTTTATTATTATTATTTTTTTAATCTGCTAGATACAATTGAAAAATTGATGGGAGGTAACCTTTTTGGAGACAGTTACTATTATCATTAAATAAGCTTTCTAAGTTTATATAATTTTATAATTACTATATTTTGGGGGGGCTAGGCAATGGGGTTAAGTGACTTACCCAGGGTCACACAGCTAGTAAGTGTTATGTGTCTGAAGCCAGATTTGAACTCAGGTCCTCCTGAATCCAGGGCCAGTGCTCTATCCACTGTGCCACCTAGCTGCCCCTATAATTACTATTTTTATTAGGAATTTTGAGGACATTAAGAAGATAAAATATTTTGTGGTATGTTAAAAAAAGAAACTAGCTTGCTGTAATATTCATGTAACATATTAATAGAAATAATCTTGAAAGATGACACTTGTATAAGACACATAACATAATCCCCTTATACAGAGACATGTAACCATATGGGATAATGGTCAGGATGAAACAGATTTCAGTCCGTCATCTCTGATTCATCCCATTTTGTATTCCCTGGCTTTTTTTTTTAAGTCTTAGCTAACATCCTAACTATAAAGACCTATACCTATAATGACACCCCTTCCTAATCCACCTTAATGCTGGTGTGTTCCCTATGCTGATTATCTCATTTATTTCCTTTGTACATAGTTGTCTGAAAGCAGTGTCCTCCATTATATTGTAAGCTCTTTGAGATTAGGGACCATCTTTTACCTTATTTTGTATCCCCAGCACTTAGCACAGTGCCTGGCACACAGCAAGAGCTAAAAAATACTTGTTGGCTGACTGATTCTACATGTTCAAATGTGCAGGTGTTGGCATTCTGTACTCCTCATTGCTGAGCAATTTCTTTCATCCTCTTATAATTCAGGCATTTTTGGAAATAAATGAACAGATGAGGGGGCAAGTAGGCGGTGCAGTGAATGGAACACTAGACTTGGAATAGAGAAGACTTATCCTGCTGAGTTCAAATCTGGCCACAGACATTTACTAGCCGTGTGACTCAGGACAAGTCACATAACCCAGTTTGCCTCAGTTCCTCATCTGTAAAATGGGCTGGAGAAAGAAATGACAAATCACTCCAATGTCTTTGCCAAGAAAACCTCAATTGGGACCATGAAGAATCAGGCATGACTGAATAACAGTAAAGCACAGATGAGCTTTGCCTTTTAAAATTTTTAAGTGTTTTACATTTTTGAAACTAAGGGGTTCATCTGTTTTCCATGTCAGTATAACATTTGCCATAAAGACATCAAATCAACAGATTTTTTTTCTTCTGTGATTCTGAAACACAAAACTTAATAATAATTAGTTGTGAATTTCATAGCAATTAAAATTAAAATTAAAAAGACAGTCTTAATTAAGGTTAATTTGAGGTTAGGAAAATAGACTAACACAAACCTTTTGTAAATTGCTAAGGATGTGTTATTGTATAAATTAAGAATCTTGCTGAATTAAGTAAAATTTTAATATGTTTGTTGGTTCAAGTATTTCATCAGATTGGATATGGGTTCAGTCTCATTTTACTCTAATCTTCTATTATGTATAACAGTATGCATTCTTTTATTTCCCTTCTTCTAAATATAGTTTCATAAAAGTTTTTAATTTGAATAAAATTATTTATTCTGAAAAAGGCAGAAACAATTCTTTGTTTCTTAGACTTAGATGTCCCGCATCAATAGAGACAAAAGACCATACCCTATTTTTGTAGCCAAAGCCTGACATTTTGGACTTCCTGGTAATAGACTTGAAAACTTAATTCCATATCTTCTTATCACCTGTATTCCTACTTGCAAGAATCTGCCTATGGGAACAGATGCTTAGAGTCATAGAATATAATGGAAATAATACTAGATAAAGAGACAGAAGATCTGGGTTTAAATCCTAGCTCAACCACTTGCTAACTATATGAACATAAAAATGTCACATTATCTATCTGGAACTATGTTTTATCAACTGTCAATTAGGAATAACAACAACTATTCTTCCTACTTCAGAAGGTGGTTGTGAGGATCAAACTGGGTAATACATGTAAAAAGTACTTTTACAAGCTTGATTTGTGTTGGAAATAAACTTGAAAGTAAAAAAATTGCCTATCAATTGAAGAATGTCTGAAAATCCTTTGGTATGTGAATGTAATGGAATAATGCTATACTATTGTACTGTATGAAAGGAGAAAACAGATTTCAGAGAGACAAGGAAAGACTTGTATGAACTGATACAGAGTTAACTAAGCAGAACTAGAAGAATCTATAATGATAATATATAATCTGTAACTAACATCACTATTATTAACAAAAATTTTGAAAACTTTTATAAGCTGATCAAGAATGAAAAGAACATAACAAGAAGAAAAATTTATACAATAATAGTGCTATAAAAACAAATGACTTTGAATGTTGTAAGAACTATGATAAAAACAATGGCCATCTAGGATTCCAGAGGAAACATCATGAAATATGTTAGCTACCTCTTAACAGGTGATAGATTTACAATACAGATATCATGCAAACATACATATATACATATGTGTGTATATATATATATACACATAGATGTACACACATATACAAATGTAATGTAAACATACATATTGCACATATTATAGCCAATGAGGGAATTTATTTTGGCTATGCATATTTGTTTTGTGTGTGTTTATATACAAAATACAGGTCTTGAGGGGAGTGAAATGTTTCTGAATAGTAACACTCTCACATAGGTATGGCAGTCATAGGAATAGGAAAGATATCAATGGGGAATAGCATAGGAGGGTATCTTGCCCCACAGTCTCCCCAGGTCCATAGGCAGGCTGGTGGATCAGATATTGAATAAGATGTGCTCAAATTTACATAGTGTTTCAGACAAAGAGCTGATGCAGTGATTGGCTTGTCATTTGAAGGAAAAGACAGAGTAGGAAATCTGGACCACTGAAATCAGAATATTTTCTTAAATGCCAAATAAGGAATCAGGAATAATGAGCAGGATCCCAGGAAACCTAACTCTTAACTCTAACCAAAAGAGGCAAGTACCTGGGATGTGGGGCAATGCCTAGTCTCTGGGTCAGACATACCTTAGATTATATGCATCTGGGGCAAGGGAGTAGCATGTCTAGTGGCATATCAATCAATCCAGTTTTCATAACCTCATAGAAATAATATTGCCAAATATTTCTCATTTTAAATTATGCTAGTGGATTTGCATTTGTATATATACATACATATATAGATATATATATATAAAACAGTATCTGTTTTGTGTGTGATTAATTAAAATCAATAGTTTTTGAGAATACTATTTTACTTTAAGGCCAAGGGGATTTGGAGAACATAAAGGATTTTATCGTTCTTTTTCTTTCATAAACATTTTGGTGTAATATTTCAGAATGGGGAATAATCAAGAGAAAATGTGTCAATCTCCCATTAATGATCTTTCTCCCACAATGGTTACAGTGAATACTTTAAATGTGTACATGAGGGAGTGAAAGGGTTTTTACCCTTGGGAAAGTTTGGGCAATCACTCCCTTTGTTGCTACCTCTAGTTGAAAGAATGTTCAAACTTGATCCTTGATCCTGACATCACTCACTACAGATCAGTATTATTAACATTGACAATATAAGGGAGGAGGAGGAAAAAAAAAAGAGGAGTGGGCAGAAGGAGAAACAGCAAAGAGAAAAACAAAAGGAAAATTCTAGTCATAAAACTTCAGAGCTAGATAGGTCCTTTGAGACCCCTCAGATTTCCCTTCTCATTTCCTAAATAAACTAAGGCTCAAAGAAATGACTGAATTGCCCAAGTTCACACAGCTAGTTGATTGTAAAACCCACACTAGACACTATGATTCCTGAGAAAAAATGAAAGTGGGGGGGAAAGTAAAAAAGGGAAGGGGAAAATGATCTCTAAGGGGAGAGAAGGAGATACCAGAAAGCAAAAATAAAAAAAAAAGTTATCATGCCAGAAAATTACTAAAATCGTTAGGATGAATTTTGGGTTTCAAAACAAGTGTCATGTTGGTATCCTACCTCACTCTCCATCTCATTGAGAGATGAGCATAAGATATCAAATGACAAGCTGAAAGCAGAAAGAATTATAGCTTCTGCTACTCTTTGGGGACACATCCTCCAGGTATCAACAATACTGTCATCATTCAGTTCACTAACCCAAAAAGACAGGATTAATGGGCCAATTCCACTTAACTTACCTTAGGATATGGATACTGTTTTGCTTTGGGATAGAGTCCTCCAGTAAAGCGAGGAATAACCATGTTTGGAACCAAGGAGTCATTTATCATCAGGAATGCAAGCCTTTCTCCATCCGGGGACCACCAATGAGCGATGTGGGAATGTAGAAGTTCCTCTAGAACAAATCAAATTCTTTTACATCACTCTGCAGACATGGGCTTACTAATGCAGATATCTGTTCTTGAATTCTGCATGATATCTCTACATTCCCCTTGTACAAAGTTGAACTTTGTTGTTGAATATACCTAGAAACTATTATTTTTGTCATATTACTTTTTAATTTAAGTGTAAGATGGCTGTAAATAGATTAGTACATAAAGCAAGTAGTCAAGATTACATATTTGTTTGGTTGTATAAATGGGGGAGATAAAAGGATTAGGAAGAACAAGCAGAGAGAGAGTGGGCTGATGGAAGCTTTCATTCAAAATTAGTTTCTTTGGATCAGTATTAAGTTCATTTCAACATTCCTTTATTCAGCATACAATACATATGTATTGAGCAACAATTAGATATTCAATACTGTACTAGGTAAAGTAACAAGAAAGAAGAATGAAAAATATTATTTGAGGTACTAACAAATCCCTTGGTGGCATGTATACATGTCTGTTTGTGTGTGTGTGTGTGTGTTTACACACATATACATATATGTATACATATGTATGTGTGTAGGTGTGTACTTTCATAGTATATATAGGCATGATATAAATATATAGTATATATATAGTATATAGTATATATAGGCATGATATAAATATATATATGTATAAGTATATGAAAGGTTGATTGTTAAACTGCATTATACTTAGTAACAAGAGATTGATATAGACACAAAGTGCTATAATGAATTTAGAGGTCAGGAGAAAAGCATGGGCATAAGTATTCAACTGGAAGTGGAATTGGACAAATTCCAAAAGTATTCATAAACCATCTGTGCTTAACATGAAGCAAATACCATCTCAGTCCATTTTTAAGATAGTCACAATATGTTTTTTGTGATCATTATCACCCAAGAATCTCTACCCTTCAAAAAGACACATTCCCAGGTAGTCTTTGTTTAAAATAAAATAAAAATTCCCTGAAATTGTTGTTGTAGAAATAAAATATATCTAGTAAAAGAAAAGGGTCATTTTCATAAGTAAACACATACACACACACTCATAAGTCCTGATATAGCACTGAGGTACAGTCTTTAAGGTATACTAGTCATTAGAAAAATAAAACAAGAATAAAAACAACTAATTTTAACTATTGGATTTTATACATTAACATATATATATTAATTGTATTACAATATTTATATACCATTGTATTTTTATAAAACACATTGCCTCCACTGTTAGTGTAAGTTTCATTTTTGTTCTTTTGACAACACTGAATTAGAAAGCCTCTTTGCAGAGCAGATGGAGCTGTCAACATGTGATGTTCCAGAGACAATCATAAAAAGAACAAAAAATAAGACGGAAAAAAACCAAACCTTTTCCAGATTGAGTTAGAAGATACCATAAAGTTTAGCTTAGCATTCAATATTCTGGAGTTGATTTTGTCTCTTTGTGGATTACCTCATGAAGCAATACAGGGTTACTAATGGTGTCAGATTGTAAATACTCTGTATGCGTGGGCAACACAGTACCATTTTCTTTTTGTTTTTTTTTTTATACTCTCACCATTTATGTATATGTCCAAAGGACATGAAACATCAAGTTCCTTATCTTTAAGCAAATCTGTGAAAGTTTGGTGTTGAGAATGTTGAACACACGAGTAAAATAGCACTATACCTTTATTTATTCAGATAATCAAAAATGATTGAATTTTTAATAGAGAAAATACTCTGGAGAATGTCAAAAGTCATGAACTTGGTGTCTTTAAACTTTACTTTCATAAAAAAAGATGGTCTGATATGTTAGATTTAATTAAGTTGCAATGATAATGATGTTAATTTATATGCAATAATATTAGAATTGATTTGTTTGAACTATGTTTAAATGATCTTTCATTTCAAAGATTTTATTTCTTCTTTGAAACCTCAGTGACCCATTTCAGTACATTATGTATTTCATTTGCTTTGGCTTTCTTTGAGTGTTGAGTGGTATAAGATTTAAAATAAAGTGAATCTTTTAAAGCATGAGTAGTACCAATCACTGTTAATATTTCTGATTTGTCACTCTAACATGCAACATCCTCCCAAATGAATCAATCATTCATTAAAAAAAATAACTACATTTCTCTGCAGAAAAATCAACGTATCATAGCACACACGGCTCTTTATTGAGCTTGTTGTGCTAGGATATTTAGAGAAGGGAAATTTTAGTCTATAAAAATTAATTCCAATGTTACCTTTAGTTTTCAAGATTTTGTGGCTAAGTTGATTTAGAATTGTAATATATTTACTAAATACAGAAATAATAAACCCATTTGGAGATGAAAAATAGGAAAATCATATACACCTTGTTATAGGTTAAAGACTTTGAGCCTCTGGTAAGTACTGAAAAGTTTTGATAAAGGCAAGTTGTAAGGTACATAGTGGCAGTGTTGAGGAAAAAACACTCCAGGTAGAGGCATCACAAATAGGGCTCCAATGATCAGTATGAGATCATGGGATGCGTTAGGATGCTGAAAGAAGTGTGACTGGTATGTTTTTTTTTAACACGTTCATTTGGTAGTGTTCTAAACTTATAATGTTGTTTCGTCACGGTTCTTCCCACTCAGACATATTCTAATAAGAGAATGAGCCCAGAATCTGTGGTCTCATTGTCTTGAGGAGCTTAGCTTCTCTCTTTGAAATGGAGTTTTTACTACCTTCAAATGCCTTCAATTACCATGTAACATAGAACTACATAGTGTAACTGAAACAAAGTAGTGGATCCTATTATCTTTATAATTTGTGTACTAACAAATTATATCACTCATTTCTAAACTTCTTTAGAAAAAGAGATAATATTCTCTAATCATAATCTATTGCAGTAGTGCAGTGTGAAAATATTGAAAAGGGAAATGAGAGGCCACTGAAGACAATAATTACTTATCAGTAGGCCTTTCAAGGCAGATTTCTCAATATGTACACTTTAAATACACCATGAAATGTCACTTACATTGCACTGACCAAAATAGTTGTTTCTTATGTAATCATTTTAAATTTTTTTCTTAGGCTATGTTTTGTGATTTTAAATGGAGTAATAAGGAAATAAAATAAAGCTATGAAAGCATACAATAGCTATTATTCTTTCTTTCTTTTTTTTTGCACATTGTTGTAGTCTCCAACTGCCTTGGCCTCCTGTAGTGGCTCTGCTGAGTAAATCTAAAACTGTAAACATCACTTGTATTGCTTGTCTTCAATATCAGTTTAGAACATAGGATCTCTGGGTCTTTCTCACATTATATAACTTTAAAATATCAGAAAGAGCCTTATAGTTCACAATGCTGCCATGGAGATAGAGATGCTAAGTTCAGAGGCAATTTCTGACTCTAGTTATTTTTCTAATCCTGAAACAAGTTGTCAAGGACATTTGCAATGTAAGGTTTTGTAATGGTGTGTGGGAACAAGAAAGGAAGAAATATTGAAGTTTTATGTCCAGGAGGGTCAGCTTTCCCATCCACAATCTTAGACAGGAATGGTAATCTAATGAGCAATCAAAATTTGGTTTCTTAAGTCACATAAATTCTTTAAATGCTATTTCACTTAAAATTAATTTGATACTTATTATAAATAACTTGATGAATCATCTTTTCTTCCATTATGATCTGTTTTTAAATGTGATAGATTGTTCCCAATTGCCATGATTAAAATCAGGAGGTTTTCATAAAGTCTGACTGTTGTTCACTACGTAGTGCTTTTTGTTTGTTCGTTTTTCTTCTTTCTATGACAGTCAGAGAAATCAATATCTAATTTCCAGTCTGATTATTTGTAAGGCTGCCATTTATTTTTGTTAGCTAAGCCACATCTCTAATGAAATACATCTAGCTTGACCAAAAAAAGAGGTGGGAAAATATAAGTAGATGCAAATCACAACAGAAGATATATGAGCATATACAAGATATAAAAGCATGAAGCCAATTTTGAAGGGAAATGAGAAGAAAACAGCTAAGAGTGGTCTAAAATGAATAGATTTCTCCTGTAGACTTTGTATAACAATATGCCATTTGCATTCTCTCAAAACTAAATTCACTTGACTCACCTTCATACAACCAGTCAGAAATTCCATTAAAAATAATTCCTTCTTTTCCTGAAGATGTCAGTCGCAATGAACTGCTCTTTACATCAGGTTGATAGTAGATGTTATTTTCAAAAATGTAAATCTGGATCAGAAAACATTTCAAAAACATAGTTGGTATGATCATATTTTTCACTTTTTCTGACTGACAGGATTAGCAGACAACTTTACTGCACCTTATTCTTTCTTTCTTTTTTTTTTTTACTCATTGTTGAATTCTCCAACTGCCCTGACCTCAATGTTCACCTTAACGTTACAACAAAACATACCCACATGGGTGGATGAATGGATGGATGGATGGATATGCACGCATACATATATACACACATATACCTATGTATGTATATAATTATTTTCAGTAGCTAGTGACTGTGAAATTCTGCTCTTATTAATATCTAATTTTCATTTGGACATGTGTATAATACCCAGTGTAACTCCTACTTGTTTATGCATGTTTTTGAAAGCATTATCTCATCTACTTTAGCAATTTCTCTCCTACTTTGGGGGATTAGTTTAGATTTGATCTAAAATTCGGTACATTCACGTTAAGCAAAACTTAAATTGGATACAATTTTGATTTGAAATATAATAACCTGATATTTAGACACTATACATATGTCTATCTTATTTGGTGTATATTCTACTTCCACCACTCTTTTACAATTTGAAACATATTGCATTGAAAATATTTTATTTATACACTGTATTCAGCCAGGATTCCCTGATATTTGCATCAGAGGTGGGAATGTCATGTATTCATGTGGGGATAGAATTAGGAGAATTTTTTTCCTACTTTTTATTTTTCCAGACATATTAAAAAAAAAAAAACTCTAGGCTATCTTGACGTCACAGAAGAACCAACACAAATCAAGTTGTGTCATATATTCACCTGAAAGTGTTATGACAAAAAAGTTACAGTCATGACTTTTTTAACCATTGGGATACCCTGCAGATCTCAAATAAGAGATTTCATCTACAAACTATTAAAAAGAAGAGAATTGATTTGCAGAATTCCAGACTCAGAGTAACTGGGTTTATTTCTGACCTCTGCTTATCACTACTATTAAGACCTTGGATGACTCTTTTATAGCCTCTAATGGCCTCACTTTCCTTTTCTATAAAGTTAGTTAGACTAGATGCTCTCTAATCTCACTTCCAGCTCTAACGATATTATCTATTAGACTTATATCTGGTCTAAGCTCACTGTTTCACTAAAAATCAGAATGAACATTGAATTTGGGAATCTAGGAGACCTCCATTTGAGAAAAGACTGCAATAATAACTATTATAGAAAGTAACAATTTACTTATATTTATACCATGCTTTATTATAGTTACAATGTGCTTTCTGCTTTCCAGTATCCAGTTCTCTGACTTTCATTGTGAAAATGACATGGTGGAAAAGAGTGTTAGACTTGGAGTCAATAAAGAGATTTGGATTTGAATTCAGCATCTTACAACTAATAGATGTATATGACCAAGGACAAGACATATAAAATCACTAGGCCTCAATTTTATCCAAATATAAATTGGGTATATGTGTAGGACTTATTTCCTGGGGTTGCTATGAGAACCAAAATGCTTTATAAACTTTAAAATGCTTTAGGATTGGGGCAGCTAGGTGGCACAATGGATGGAGCACTGGCCCAGGAGTCAGGAGGACCTGAGTTCAAATCCGGCCTCAGACACATAACACTTACTAACTGTGTGACCCTGGGTAAGTCTCTTAACTCCATTGCCTAGCAAAACAAAACAAAAAAATGCTTTAGGATTAATGATGATGATAATGGTGATGTTCTCTTTAGACTCCGTAGTACACTCATTCCTGGTGGTAATGGACTTATTCTTTGCTTCTATACTGTTCTGAAAATGCAAATTATTTCTTCCAAAAATTACTATCCAAAGGGTTTATCTAGACTAATGTCTGGTTTTTAGTGAACTCTTGGAAAGCATTTCTCTCACAGGCTTTATTATTGTTTGGATGGACAAATAGGAATGATGATCTGATTGACCATCTTCCTATAATGGAAGCACCTACTTTTGCATGTCCAGTGGAAGAGAAGGAATAGAATGGATAGCTAAATACATTTTTTTGACAATTCTGAATATTCAAATTTTAAAAATTGAAATGACAAATAATATCTTTAATCCTTAGTATTCTGTTGAAGTTTCTTTTTATCAAATAACCCTAATATTGCCATATCCACTAGCTTTTTTCTGAATAGTAATCCTCCTTAATCTCACTGTAACATTTGGTATTGCTGACAGCCTTTTCTTTCATTAAATATTTTTTTCTCCTATTTTTTCCTCCTCTGATCTCTCCAACTGTGTTGTTTCTTTTACTGATTCTTTTTGGTTTTTGGTTTTTTGTTTTTTTTTTGGCCAGGCAATGGGGTTAAGTGACTTGCTCAGGGTCACACAGCTAGTGAGCATTATGTGTCTGAGGCCGGATTTGAACTCAGGTCCTCCTGACTCCAGGGCCGATGCTCTATCCACTGCTCCACCTAGCTGCCCCTTACTGATTCTTTTCAATCTCTAATTGTATGTATTTATGAGACCCTTTCCACAGCCATATCCTATTATCTCCCCTTTTAGTATGTCACATACTCACATTAATTCAACAACAATCTTTATTTAAACAACTCAAAAATAAGTTTCTTCAATATCTGCCTCATAATCAAATTCCAGTTATAAATTTCTAGCTGGCTAGTAATGTCTGTGTTGAAGTGTTTGACAGCATATTTAAGATTAAGGGAATCATTTGCATAGAGATGATCATTGAAACCATAGAACCTGATGAGGGGGCAGTAATATAGAGATAGAAACAAAGAGGATACAATATAATCCTAGAAGATACCTATATTTAGGAAGCATGAAATAGAAGAAAAAAATGCAAATGAGACAAAGAAGGAGCCACCAAACAGGCAGGAGAAACAAGAGAGCATGTCATGAAAACTAAGAAAGAAAAAATGTATCAAGGAGAGGAGGGTGATTAATGGTATCATATTTTTCAGAGAGATCAAGTCAGATGAAGATAAAGAAATAGCAATTAGAATGGAATTCATATATGAGATCATTTAGTAGATTGAAGAGTTTTGAAGAAAATGATAGAAAAGCAACAGCAGCAACTATTGTAGATGGCCTTCTCAAGGAGTTTAACCATGAAGGGGAGGAGAAGTATTGGGATAATTGGTAGAGGTGATAGATGGAACAAGTGAGAGATTTGGGGAATAGGGGAGACATGGCCATGTTTGTAATCAATAACCATCAATGATAGAAGTGATTGAAGATTAGTGAGAGAATAGGATTCATAGAGGGAGCAATTTTCTGAAGAAGATGGGATTGTATAAAAAATAAAAAAAGAAGATGAGATTGAATAGGATCACTTGTGCACATAGAGGGGTCACCTTGGCAAAGACAAGGGTAACCTTGTTGTGTGAGACAAGGTTGAAAGTATAATTCATGCTTCTACCTTAGATCATTTTATCTTCTTTCAATTCACTCTTTCCCCTAAATGACCTCATCAGCTCTCATGAGTTTAATTACAATTTCTATGAAAATGATTATCAGATATATGTAGTTATTATTATTCTCTCTTATGAGCTTTGGTCATGCATCACTAATTTCCTATTGAGCATTTCCAAATGTAAATCCCAGAGTATATGTCAAACTTAAGTCCCAAAACAGTAGTTATTGCCCCTCTTTCCCCAGCCTAACTAAATTTTTGTGTTTCTGCTGAGGGTACCTCTATCCTTCCAGGAAAAAAAAAATTCACAACTCCATTGTCATCAACTTCTCACTCTCATTCATTCCATGAATACAGATAATTTTCAAATCTTAGGATTTTTATGTCTACAGCAACTGTTACCTATGTATCCTCTCCAGTCATGTGGTTACTACTGTAGTTCCGGGCTCCCTTACCTATTGCAATAGAAATAGTTGACTCCTGAAAACTGTCAAAATGAGTCTAGAACACTAGAAGTCTAGAAGTATAGTTTTAACCATACTCCTCCCCACCCAGCACAATAAGCTCCAATTGCTCCCTATAACTTCAAGGATTAAATATAAATTTATCTGCTTGGGATTTAAAGCCCCTCAAAATGTAGCATGAACCATTGCGTTGCATCAGCTTCATCTATGAACCCCATAGTTCAATTAAATTGGTTTTTGAACTCTTCTCTATACAGCTTACTCCATCTTCCATCACTATGTCTTTGTTTTGCCCAACTCCTATGCCTGGGATGGATCTCCTATTCATCCCCAGCTACTGGAATGCCTGGTTTCCTTCAAGGCTAAACTTAAATGCCACCTTCTATGTAAGGCCTTCTATTATTCTTCCCTTCAGGATACTAATGTCTGCCCTTCACACTTATTTGAATATTTTAAAATCTACTTTGTATATACAAAGATATGTACAGATTATTTCTCTTGACCAGATTGAAAGCTCCCTGAGGGGGTATATGTATATGTGTGTATGTGTATGTGTGTGTATGTATACACATAAACATATATATATACACACAGAAATATATACATATATATATACACACATTTTTGCATGTATATGTGTGTATATATTTAATTTAGTCATCGTATCTCTAGAACTTAGTACAATCTCTAGCACATAGTTGGCATGTAAGAAATGTTTCTTTTTGGGCTGCTTAACTGATGATGATGATGATGAATCACCATGATTTTCTGGCAACTTGTTTACTTTCATTATGTTCATGTAAGTTTATATCTACCTGATTTTCCAATAGCTTATTCATTTGTCTTCTCACCCAATGTTTCTCCCCATTCTAGTACACCTTGCAAAATTTCTCTAGGTGAATCTTTTTTAATGAGCTTTGTATAATTACCTTATTCAGTTATATTAATGGTTTTCTATGGTCACTGAGTAAATCACAAGCTCCTTGTTTAACATCTAAGTCTTTCCAAAGTATTCTATCAGCCAGCATTTCAGCCTTGCCCAACATGATTCAGTCTTATCTCTTTGTCCTATTATTCCTGTCCAAACTCTGTTATGTGCTGTTCCACATCTGTGCTTTTGATCAAAATGTTCTCTACACTTTCTTGTCATCCTTAA